ATGGGAGACCAGGAGGAAGCACCTGGCTCCTGGCTTTGGATCGGCGCAGTGCGCTGGCTGTAGCGGCCATTTGGGGGGTGAACCAAAGGAAGGAAGACCTTTCTCTCTGTCTCTCTCTCTCATTGTCTAACTCTGCTTGTCAAAAAAAAAAAAAAAAAAAAAAAAAAGTATGAAGCCAGAAGACAGTGGAATTATGTATTTTGAATGTTCTGGAAGAAAATAATTGCTAGCCTAGAATCCTTTACAAAGCAAAAGCATCCTTCCAAAATTAATTCAGTAAAGTGCTTTCAAACAAAAACTGAAGAGATTATCACCAGCTGACCTGTAGCAAAGGAAATAAGTCCTTCGAGCAGCAGGGAGACCATTGGAGATGGATGCTCAGATATGCACAAAGCAAATAAAGGGTAGATATATGGTAAAGCAAATGAAAATTTACTTTTACAAAACATTTATTTATATTTATTTTAAATGTAGAGAAAGAGAGAAACAGAGGCAGAGATTGTCCATCACTGCTTCACTCCTCAAATACCTACAACAGCCTAGGTTGGGCCAGGTTGAAGTCACGCTCTCAGAACTCAGTTGGGGTCTGCAGTGTGGATGGCAGGGATCCAAAGGAATGACCTGCTGCCCGCCAGCAAGTGCACTATCAGGAAACTAGAGTTGGCAGCAGAGCCAGGACTTGAACCAGGCACTCTGACATGGGATGTATGTGTCTCAAGTGCATCTTATCTGCTCTACTAAACACCAACCCTAAATTTTTTAAAAACAATAATGATGTCTTCTGAGATTGAAGGTATGTTGATGAAAAAAATTAACAGTATTACCACAGGAGATGGGAGAGGTTCCTGTGTTGCTTGATAAGTTGTAGAATTGCTGACTTGAGGTGTCACATACTGAATCGGTGCTGCTTGGTTCCATTGTCCAGATACAGTGTCAGAGGACTAAACCTCGACGTCAGTGATGAAAAGTGTGGACTAATGATAAGTTTATCATTTCTAAAAAGTGAGAAAGAAAAAATAAACAAATAGGAAATAAGTAGAGTGATTGTACACTTAAAATGAACCATATCTGTAATTCCACTAAGTATAAATGGGCTGTATTTATAATTTGAAGCCAAAGATTTTTGGATGGTATAAAACCCAGTTATGGGGACCGGTGCTATGACATAGTGGGTAAAGCTACTGCCTACAGTGCCAGCATCCCATACGGGCACCAGTTCGAGACCTGGTGTTCCACTTCCAATCCAGCTCTGTGCTAAGGGCTGGGAAAGCAGTAGAAGATGGCCCAAGTCCTTGAGCCCTGGTACCACATGGGAGACCCAGAAGAAGCTCCTGGCTCCTGGCTTCAGATTGGCTCAGTTCCAACTGTTGTGGCCAGCTGGGGAGTGAACCAGTGGATCGAAGACTGATCTCTCTCTCTCTTTCTCTCTCTTTGCCTCCCCTTCTCTCTATGTGTAACTCTGACTTTCAAATAAATAAATCTTAAAAAAAAAAAAACAGTTATTTGCTTTATACAGAAACAGACTTGAAAAAAACCTTTGAGGGCACAAATTTGGCAGTAGAAGTTTGTGAAGTATATATATACACACACACATACATATACCCTGAAAGAAAGAAATCAGTAAGGTTATAGAAGATTTAAACAGGGCATCATACCCATCACCCATAGAATATACTTTAAGTACACATAGAGACAAAAAGTACACAAAAAATAAACCATGTTCTGCACCATAAGCCAGGCTTAAATAAATTACAAAGTATTGAAATCACAGATATATTCTTTTTATTTTTTATTTTTGACAGGCAGAGTTAGACAATAAGAGAGAGAGAGAGAAAGGTCTTCCTTCCTTTGGTTCACCCCCCAAATGGCCACTACGGCCAGCGCGCTGCGCTGATCCGAAGCCAGGAGCCAAATGCTTCCTCCTGGTCTCCCATGGGGTGCAGGGCCCAAGGACTTGGGCCATCCTCCACTGCACTCCCTGGCCACAGCAGAGAGCTGGACTGGAAGAGGAGCAACCAGGACAGAATCCGGCGCCCTAACCAGGACTAGAACCCGGGGTACTGGCGCCGCAAGCGGAGGATTAGCCTAGTGAGCCACGGTGCTGGCCTACAGATATATTCTTTAACCACAGTACAATCCAAGTAAAAATCAAGAACAGAAACATAAATAGAAAAAAATCCCAAAATATATAGAAATTAAACAATATACTTCTAAGTGATCCATATAGCAAAGATGATATCACAGTGGAAATCAGAAATTTAAAAAATTAAGTGATAATGAAAATGACATATATATGTGAGATGTGTTTTAAATAATGCATAGAGAGAAATTTATAGCTTTAAATGCATGTATTAGAAATGAAGAGGGCTGACGCTGTGGCACAGTGGGTTAACGCCCTGGCCTGAAGCACCAGCATCCCATATGGGTGCTGGATTGAGACCTGACTGCTCCACTTCCAATCCTGCTCTCTGCTATGACCTGGTAAAGCAGTAGAAGATGGCCCAAATTCTTGGGCCCCTGCGCCCGCATCAGGGACTGGGAAGAACCTCCTGGCTCTTTGGCATGGCGCAGCTCCAGCCATTGCGGCCAATTGGGGAGTGAACCATTGGATGGAAGACCCCTCTCTCTCTCTCTCTCTCACTCACTCTCACTCTCACTCTCACTCTCTGCCTCCTCTCTCTGTGTAGCTCTGACTTTCAAATAAAATTAAAAAAAAAATTTTTAGATTAAAAAAAGATCAGCCCTTGCCCTGACTGTTGATGAACAACTTAATATGTTATCCCTCTTAGTATTTTTTGTTTGTTTGTTCTACTTAATACTTTGGTTGAATACTGTAGTCAATACACAATTATTCTTAAGTGCTGAAACTTAACTGAAAAGTGATCGCTGTTAAATATAAGAGTGGGAATAAGAGAGGGAAGAGATGTGCAATTCGGGACATGCTCAAGCTGACTTACCTCAAACGGTAGAGTTAGAAACATACCAGGGGATTCCAATTCAATCCCATCAAGGTGGCATGTACCAATGCCATCTCACTAGTCCCAGTGATCAATTTCCATTCACCATTGATCATAATGATAGGACTAAGAACCAAAGAGATCACATAAACAAGAATAGTGTCTGCAAATACTAGCTGATAGAATCAAAAAGGGAGAGAATGATCCAACCCAAAAGCAATATTAATTAAATTTCTCTGAAATAGAAAGAAGAAAGTAATACAAACAAAAATAAGAAATGAACAAAATAGTAAAAAAGTAGATGAAGAACATTAATAAGTTATTCCTTGAAAAACACTGTTATACAACACACACACACACACACACACACGCACACACACTATGGGAGCTGGCATCATGGCGTAACAGGTTAAGCTCCATCTGCATTGCTGGAATCCTACATTGGTACCAGTTCATGTCCAGGCTGCTCTACTTCCATCCAGCTCCCTTTTAATGTGCCTGGGAAAGCAGTTGAGGGCCCCTGTACCCACATGGGAGACCTGGAAGTAGCTCCTGGTTCCTGGCTTTGGCCTGGCCTAGCCCTGGCCATTGTGACCATTTGGGGAGTGAACCAGGGGTTGGAAGATCTCTTGTCTCTCTCACTCTCTCTCTAACTTTGCCTTTCAAATAAATAAGTTAAAAATTATTATTAAAAAATTGTGCAAAATCATGTGTGACTGAAATAAAACCATACAAAACTCAGATGTCTTCTTTGGTGAATCTTTCGGAAGAAATAATGCCAGTTTTCATAAAATTTTTCACAAAAAAGAAGAGGAGGGAATACTTTCCAGCTCATACTATGGGACCAGCATCATCTTGATCCAAAACCTGATTTAGGTATTACAAATGCTGAGTAAAAGAGGTCAGATGCCAAAGAATAAAATAGTGTCTGATCTATTCATGTGAAATTCAAGAGCAGGCACCATGGAAGTCAGAGGAATGGTCACTCTGGAGGTGTGAGATTCCCACAGGCCCATGGGTGCTGGGATGCCCAGTGTCTTGATCTGAGTAGTAGTTGGAAGAGTGTAGAAAGATGTGTGTAACGATCCAGTGAGCTGTACACTTAGGATTTGTGCACTATGTGTGTATCTTAATAATATAATAATAATAATAATAATAATAGGCGCTGGCTTTGTGGCATAGCGGCCCATGTGGGTGCCAGTTCACATCCTGGCTGCTCCACTTCTGATGCCAGCTCCCTGCTAATGGCCTGAGAAAAGCAGCAGAAGATGGCCCGAGTACTTGGTCATCTGCCACCCACATGGGAGACCTTGATGAAGCTCTTGATTCCTGGCTTCGGCCTGGCTCAGCTTTGGATATTGTGGTCACTTGAGGGGTGAACTAGTAGATGAAAGATCTCCTTTTCAGGGCCGGCACTGTGGTATAGTAGGTTAAACCTCCTTCTGCAGTGCTGCCATCCCATATGGGTGCTGGTTAGAGTCCTGGCTACTCTGCTTCCAGTCCAGCTCCTTGCTAATGCACCTGAGAAAGCAATGGAAGGTGGCCCAAGTGCTTGGGCCTCTGTACCCACCTGGGAGACCTGAAAGAAGCTCCTGGCTTCAGATCGGCCCAGTTCCACTATTGCAGCCATTTGGAGAGTGAACCAGCAGATGGAAGATCTCTGTCTAACTCTGCCTCTCAAATAAATAAATAAATCTTTTTTAAAAAAAGATTTATTTTTCTCTCTTATAACTCTTTCAAATAAATAAAATAATAAATATATCTTTAAAAAAAGAAAGTAAACTTGCTCTGGTGTAACATACTGGTATCTCCACTCTCACATAGTTTCCTACATTTAAATTGAGCCCAGCGTGGCTAGCATTTCATCTGACTGCACTTGATAGATGCACTCCTCTCATGGAGCAGGCTTCAACAGCAGGGAGCCTTTGCTCTGGGCATAGAGGAATTACCTGGGCCTGGAATGACCCTGATGGAGCATCTGGTCCCCTCCACCCACTCAGTCTCACTGCCTGCTCACTTACACAAATTTGGTTTTCATTGCAGGCCCGGTGGTTCTGGGAAGCATACTTCCAATCAATCAAAGCCATTGCCCTGGCCACCTTGCAGATCATCAACGACCGGATCTATCCCTACGCAGCCATCTCCTATGAGGAATGGAATGACCCTCCTGCTGTGGTAAGTGAAACCCACGAGCAACCCCGCAAGGCGTGGGCCAGCCCTCAGGATGGGGGAAAGGAAAACACCCTGCAATTGTAAAGCTGATTTAAGTTCTAGCTTTCCAGGATGACCGTGTGCTTTGTATTTCTTGGGGCCTGATAAGGACAGCTGAATTTTGAAGCTCTGACAAAAGTAAGAAATACAGAAGCGGCAGCTTCCAGATAGTTTTCATTACGCTTAAGAAGACAGTCTCTGTTTATTATTCGTTGCAGGGGTAAATGGGGAAGCTGAGCCTCGCTGGAAATCAAAGGCTGCCTGATGACTTTTGCAGTTGTAGTGCTTCGAGCTCTTGAAAACGTTCCGTAAGCAACTTAGTAATGCTGAGTTCTGTTGTGAATACCTGCTCTTGGCCAGGGACTGTGCATAGTGCTTGCCATATGTTATTGCAGTTAACATTTCCAGCACCCGGCGAGGCCAGTCATGAGCAAAAGTGACGTAGAAGCATTGTGGATCTCTGCAGTCACTGGCTCCACCAGTGGGGCCAGGGCCGAGCCCTCGGCTGATTCCAGGACAGGGATAGAGCGGTCAGAAGCACTTCTGGGGCTTCTTCTTTGTGGAAGAGTCACAGGCACTTGTGTCATTGTAGGGATTGTAGCAGTGGCTTCCAGCCACACTGTCCTCCTCTTGGAAAATGCCTAAAGGTCTGGAAACTGGCGGTTACTGCCCACCAGCTGCCTGGAAGCACCCCTGGCTGCCCACCTCCCAGGTCTCAAGCTCAAAGCTCTCACATAAGAGATCTGCACTCCTCTTCCTTCTTCCCAATTCTACCATCTGTGAATCACACTGGATACGGCCACCTGGTTAAACTTCATGTGGGACACACACATACACACATCCATACATACACCACGGACACCACCCTCCTGCCTTTCTCCATCCCTTGCTGCTGCTGCTGCTGCTGCTGCTGCTTCTTCTTCTTTTTTTTTTTTTTTTTTTAAGATTTATTTATTTATTTGAAAGGCAGAACTACAGAGTGGTAGAGGGAAAGAATGAGAGATCTTCCATCTGCTGGTTCACTCCCCAAATGGCCACAGTGACCAGAGCCGGGCTGATCCAAAGCCAGGTGCCAGGAGCTTCTTCCAGGTCTCCCATGCAGGTGCAGGGGCCCAAGGACTTGGGGTGTTTTCTGCTGCTTTCCCAGGCCGTGGCAGCAACTTGAACCAGTGCCCGAACTAAATGCCGGCACTGTGGGCTGTGGCTTTCCCCACTACACCACAGCCCTGGCCCCACATCCCTTCCTTTCTGCATCCAACCTTTGTTAAATAGGTACTAGGTTAGGAGCCTGCTATGGGGTGCTGAGAATACGGAAAGAAGTTTCTCACTAATTTGGGAAGCGTGGTATCCAGAATCTAGAGTGTGGATATAAACATATATTCATGTACTTAAGTATGTGAATTTAAATAATTAAATTTCAGCTAAGAAATTGCTTAAAGAAAATATATTTTGAATGTTGGTAGATTGTAAAAAAAAAAATAATTACCCTTTTAAAAATCTATACTGGGCCGGCGCTGTAGCTCAGCAGGTGAAAGCCATGGCCTGCAGTGCTGGGATCCCATTTGGATACCGGTTCAAGTCCTGGCTGTTCTACTTCTAATCCAGCTCCCTTGCTCGTGCCCCTGGGAAAGCAGTGGAGGATGGCCCAAACCCTTGAGCTCCTGCCCCTACGTGGTAGACCTTGAAGCAGTTTCTGGCTCCTGGCTTTGACCTGGCCCAGCCCTGACAATGGTGGCCATCCAAGGGAGTGAACCAGCGAATGGAAGACCACTCTCTGTCTCTTCTTCTTTATCTCTACCTTTCAAATAAATCTTTTTTAAAAAATCTATAAAATTTATAGTTCCATAAATAATATCTGGTTCCTCTGTAACTCTGAGTTCTTGAATTTTGCTCATGAATGAGGTAAGTGCATCTTCCATGTGTATTTTTCAAGTGAAAGGCTGATACCTTTGTCAGATTTACCTACAGAATCCTGCTTGTGTTTTGATTGGCATCACATTGAATTGTTAGATTGCTTTAGCATTTATTCACTCACTAGGCATTTACCGAACGCTTGCCGTGCTCTAGGCCATGCTGTTAATGCTTTGAAAGTCTCAGTAAACAAAGCAGAGAAGTGCCCACGCCTTTGTGACTCCTGCACTGCCATGGATCTTGCTACCTGGAAGGCTTATTTTTCTAGTAGAATTTGAAAGTTTTCTTTGAGGCCGGCATTGTAGCATAGCAGGTAAAGCCACCACCAGCTATCCCCTATAGGTGCTGGTCCACATCCCGGCAGCTCCACTTCTAACACCAGCTCCTTGCGAATGGCCTGGGAAAAGCAGCAGAAGATGGTCCAGGTGCTTGGGCCCCTGCCCCTATATGGAAGACCTAGAAGAAGCTCCTGGCACCTGACTTGGGCCTGACCCAGTTCCACCCATTGCGGCCATTTGGGGAGTGAACCAGCAGATGGAAGATAACTCTTTCTCTCTCTCTCTCTCTCTCTCTCTCTCTCTCTCTCTCTATCTCTGCCTTTCAAGTAAATAATAAATCTTTAAAAAAAATTTAAAAATCATAGAAGTTTTCCTTACACAGATCTTTCACAAGGCATGATGAATTTTCCCCTAGGCTTTTTAATCTTTCCTATGCTCTGGTAAATGCTTTCTAACTGCAGTTTCTGATTGATCGCCATTTGTATAAAGACACATTTTGGCTTTTGTAGATTAACTTTGTAACTGTACTGTTACTGAATTCTACAGTTTCCCTTTTTTTTTTTTTTTTTAGTTAATTCTGTTGTATTTTCCTGGTATACGGTATCTACAAGAGCTAATTTTTCCTTTTCCCAACTTTTTTCCTTTTATCAAATTGCATTGGCTAGCACTCTGGGACAGTGATAAATGATGATCTGCGTGTTCAAAGAGAAGGGTAGATGCTGCAGGGACAGGGAAGGAAGGAACCAGCAACTCAGAGGTGCGAGGGATGAGGGCTCACGGCAGCTGAGAACTCCAAGGAGCTCAGAGTGGCAAGAGGAGGGCGACAGCTCGGGTGGGAGAGACAGGGTGCAGCCAGAGAGGACCCAGATCCAGAAACACCTTGCATCGGGCGTCGGAGTGTCATCTGAGAGAAATGGGCCGTCACAGAAGCATTATACTTGGGTGGTAAGATTCCATTTCAGGTGTGTCTAGCACCAGTATGGAGCATGGATTATGCATTGCAGTGGGACGAAACTGGAAGCAGGAGACTCATTCAGTAACCCAGGTGGGAATCAGCAGAGGACAGATTTGAGCTACGTCTCGGGGAGTGGCCTCAAGGGGCTTCCGCCTTGCTCCTCCGTGCCTCTGCGTCAGCCTTGCCTTGCGTGCGTTTCCTCCCTGTCTGCATTTTGCACATACTCTAGTGCCTGTTCCTGTTCCCCTTGAGGTCTTCCCAATGCCTGTGCAGGAAGTCCTCTTTTCCTCCTTGTAACTCTTAGAGCATGTTGTCTCTGTTTTCTTTCCTGCCACATAACGTGTACACGAGTACAATTTCCTGTACAGTTGCAAGCACCTGAAGGGAATTTCTGGCTCATCTTGGTGTTCCTCATAATACCCAGACAATGTAATCCAGGCAGGAGGCCATTGCTGTGTCATGGAAGGAAGGAGGGAGAGAGGGGAAGATGGGATGCCAGGACTCGAGCAGTCCAAGACTCACTCGTGCTAGTGGGATATCTATTCTTTTATTTAATCCTCACCGTGCTGAGAAGGCAGTGAAAGTGCTAGGTCATTTCTCATCTGTCAGGCAGTCATCATGAGACCCACTAATGGCTTCTCCAGGGTCATGCGGTTGGCAAGTTATAGAAGCAGCTGAGAACGCAGGTCTTCTGCGCAGAAGTGATCTGAAGTTGCCTCTGCAGTTATCTGGGAGCCGCCGAGCCTTCTTGCTGCTCCGGCATATGGTACACGTTTGAGACACAGACTGTCACATCTGCTCCGCTGCACGAGAATGCGCGCAGGTGGGAGGGTCGCGACCCCGGCACAAAGTGTGGAAATGCGGAGGCCTTATCCTGCGCTTTCATCTGCAGCTCGAAGAGAAGTTCAATCAGAATAAACAGTTCAAATCTTATAAGGCTGTAGACAAGGAGAAAATAGAATATGAAATTTTTCAGTTCCAAAACAGATAATGTTTCAGTTCAGGGCAAAGCGGTCAGAGTGCTGAACTCTTAACAGCTTGGTTAAGAACGCAAACCTGAAGAGTATAAATCTAGATATGCAACTAGAAAATGTCATCGGTGTTTCTTTCTTTAACTCTTTCTTAGGTAGTCCTTTTTAGGGCCTGCTTCTAAAAACTCCTCCGGGGTCCTTTGGACTTTATGACATTTCTAGGAGTCCAGGTGATGAGCGTGCTGATGGAAAGCAGTGGGCCGTACCTTTCTGCATCTTCAGTGAGAGCCTGACAGAGGCCTGCGTAGTGATGATTCATTTGTCGACAACTTCTCCCCCCTCCAGAAATATTTCACCTCCTCTGGCTGAGAGGACTCCGAGTCCAGCCTGCAGGGGAGTCACCCCCTAGATTCCGTCAGATTTATAATGTCAGACACCCCGGGGCGGGAGGAGGTGTGGATCGGGCCAGTAAATCAAGGAATGGCCTGGGCTTTCCGAGAGATGCTGTCAGAGCCTCCAGCCACGCACCGGGCGTGCTCAGGCTGGGGAGCAAGCGGCAGAGGCAGAAGCTGTCTTAGCCAGGTGCAGCTGCCTTCCTCTGCTGCGAAAAAGGCCCGTGTGTAGAAGAGAAGCACGGTGAGCAGCCCTTCTTCCCCATGGCATGAGCCTGATCATGTCAGCACCTGGAAAAGTTCGACACCTTGTTCTCGAGCACAGCCTCAAAGCTGCAGCTCCGTCTGCACTGGAGAGACTGCCCCTTTGTTCTGGGTCTTCTCCTTGGAAGGCATTTCTCCCTGATTAAGGTTCTTCATGGTCTGTCACTAATTAACTTAGCTCCTCATGTCAACA